AGATTTATATTTTTAATGTATAAAGGACCTATAAAAATATGCAATATCACATGTAAGTACACAGAACTGGGAAGGAACCACACAAGCCCATACGAACTGAGAACCTTTTTGTTCTATGGGCATCATGTTATCTGTATTGTACAGGCATAGCTCTACCTGATATAGATAACAGTTCCAAAAAGGATTGACGGATTAATTCCTTCTTAAAAAAACTATGAGAACAGGATGATTTGAGTATATTTCTGCCATCTACCTGCCTCTAATCGAAAAGCACTTTTATAGTAAAAGCTTAATTATGGGAATACTTCCACTCATTGTTAAAGCAAATACAATACATTAAAAATGAGCAACAAAATATTACATTTGAAATTTACTCATTTTTAATCATCCTGATTTCACAACAAATTAACAGAAAACTAAGGAATCTTTGGTTTGTAGGCTAATGATAGATTCTAGATAAAAATGAGTTAAAAAGAAATATGAGCAACTTGGTGCTACCAAAGATGGTATATTGTATACAATACTGACCTTAAACAATTGTGATTATCATTATTGCAGATCACAATATCAAGGTTTGAATTAAATAACAATGCAAGAGTCGATGGTGTAAAACTACACTTCCTTCATATGAGTATCTGGAGAGGTGCTGCATTATGCTTGCTTTCTAAACGCTCTTAGCCGACTTTGCTGAATCCTAACCGTATGTGGTTACTATAGCAGTCCTGTTAACATATATATAGTCACTGTGACAACTCTATTAATGTGCCCATTGGTTGCCACAGTCAAGTTATCACAGTAACATGGTAACCCTAATAGCAAAAAATGAAAGTAAATCATTTGTTCATTCCCTAAGCATCAAGGTAAGGAAACTATAATACATATAATTGAGTAAATAAAAAAAAAATCAACTATGCAAACTTTGCCTGATTCCCATAGAAGGAAAACATACCATTATTATCAAGCTATACATCAGCTTCCCTAATATTAACGATATGATTACAGATCTTGGAAACATCATTTCCCTGAATTGTGATACTTTTCTCCTGCAAGCCTGATTATGCGTGGTCATATTTACGGGAAACAAGTTCTGTGACTAGTATTTATCCCTTTGTAGGTGCCATATTAAGCTAAAAATGTCAGGCAATGATAGTTTGTGACAATACCTATTTCTGACATACCTCTCTTCACTATCTAAATATATGACTTACCAAGTCTTTGAATCATATCAGTAAATTCATTTGTGAAAGCTAAAATATATACAAGTTCATGGTTTAGCAAGTTAAAATAATTTTGACTGTTAGTCAACATAAAATGTCTTCTTTAACCTAATTAATCTTCTGACATTCCTTTCAACAAACTTCTTTTCATAGGCTTTTTTTACAATTCTATATTTTCTATGTATGATGACATGGCACTATAAAAAACATATTGCTCTGCCATCATATTATCTTGGTAAACAAAGGTTCTAGGAACTTGAATGCATAGGGGTCAAATCCTTACATAAACCTTAGAAGCTCTATCATTAATTCACTATCCAGTGCAATTATGAAGATAATTAAAACTTTCAGAAACCTATCATGCATGACTTAAATCTCCATAGAATGTTAAGAGGTATCTGATGCAATAATAAATACACAAGCTCATTGTAGTCACCACCATCGCTCTTTGACTTGCCTTAATGCCTCCCAAAATATACATAATATGAGCAGTCCACAAGACAAGCTTTTTAAGCATAAAGAAGCACCATTTTCAGACTTTTGGGCTTATCTAGGATTAATCATGAAGGTAACTTCCACATGAATCTAGTGCAAGTATGACACTTTATCACTAGAAGGACGGCCTCATAGCCAACAGTTTTTATGTAGGCAAATATTCTACAGTATTATACAGTAGCTCAAATGTTACTGAAATCTGCATTAAGTTTGTTTTCCTCATCCTTCTCTGTGTCTCTTCTTTCCCCTTCGACCGGAGCAGTTTCAGCACCTGCCTTGACATTACTACTTTCTGATATGCCGTTATTCAAGCTTTGGCTACTAAAGGCAGGATTTTCTGTGCCAAAAGCCTGATTACTACTGTAGGAGGATGGAAGGACTGATTGAGTTGACCAAGAAGAAGGAAGACCTTGTAAAAATGAAGAAGTTGATTCTGCATGCGTAGGAACTTCAAGTGAAACTGGAGACTCTGGAGATGAACTGTGAGTTGACGAGTGGACACATGGAAGATCCGCTGCGTAAAATTCCACAGGCAGAGCGCAGGCTCCCCAGCCTAAGGTTGGACTCAGGTCCTCGTATCTAAAAGGAAATTGTTTATTTATTTGATTATGGAATCTGGTGGTATTTCCTGCTATAATTATATTCAGGAACTTTATTGATAATTTATAATAAAAATTGTAGCAATACTGTTGAAATATGGATATTACTCACTGATAATCATAAATATAACTTTCATCTGAATTATAATTTTCATCACACTAGTGACAATAGCAAGTATAATTTTCATCACACAAGTGACAATAGCAAATATAATTTTCATCACACAAGTGACAATAGCTTTAGCCATGGCGGCATGAACTGCGTCGTACCTGGGCGGCTTCTCGCTCAGGACTGAGTAATAGTCCGGAGGAAGGCCGTCTAGCTTCAGGATCTGCTCGTAGCTAGGCGGCTTGTCCTCTGGATCCGGCAGCGTGGGACCTCGAGACGACTGCAAAAAAACATGTTTTTAATCATTTGTTAATGGAGGGGCAACAGCTGGGTAAAGGACATGGTTTCTCAAAACAATTATTAAATGTTTACACAAAAAGCGTGGCAAAGCACAGAAGATAAATAGAAGATTATTAAAATATCAAAGCTGCTAGTTGGCTGTGATAAACGGAGTTACGTCTGATAATTGCCCAGATTATTCGGTGGCAAACAGAGCAATCCCGCGCTGTCGACCTTTGTCAACCGGTTCTACCAAGCTAATCTTTATTTTACTCCATACGCAATATATCATAATTCATCTCCAAGAAAAGAGGGTTTATATCCGTCTAGCAACGATTTGAGGATTAGTAAATGCATTCTTCTTTATATATTTCATAATGATTCATAACATACAGACATTTCACGAAGAACAGGTATGATTCGCAAATATTGATCAAGGTACAGTGTAGTCTGCGTTAACTACCTATAGGCATCAGTGTACACAACTCACTTATCCGGAGGATAAGTGACTTCGCACAGAAAACTGTATTCTGTTTCGTATATTTATTATGCTACAAGATCGATGTACTATTAATCAGCCCTGGACTCTGATACAATAGTCGTTGGCAGCTGTAATGTTATAATTATACGCACCATAACTGCTTCTTTGAGAGTTGCAAGCAAGCCATGAAAACCACCAACGGGCAAATACAACCATGAAAGGGTAATGACATCAAATACAAGGAGCTGTGCATACGAAATTTACGTATTCATCTATTAGTTTGCATTATTCAACAGGTGTCAAATCCATGACGACCCTGGCATTGACAGCACACCCAAGGTCTGTCACTGAGCAGGCAGCGTTAACAGAGAGGAGGCTCAACTGCGAGTGAGCTGCCTCAGCTCAAGGCCACATAACTCCAAGGTGTGGTTAGCTGGTAGTCACAGAAGACGAAATTCATTCCTCCAGTACCACAATATGTACCAGATACCATGCAGATTAAAGCCCACTCTTGCACTTGTGCATTTTCCATTATCTGCTACACCAGGACGCTGAGCAAACAAAGACATCCGCATCCTCTGGCTCGCCAAGGCCGCGGTCCCTCTGCCGCGCCAGCACACCCACCTTCTATGGGTGGCCGTGGGGGAATAAGACAGCCTTGAGTGCTGTCAGCTATGAGCCATCTTCGCTTCTTACTGCACTCTAAAGATCAAATGTTTTACTCATAGTAAATTCTTTACTATGATTTATTGAACCTCTCATCAGTTTCTGGTAATTTATTGTGCCTACGGGTATGGATGCTGCTACAAGTCTTATGTACGGGAAATAGTCTGTTTGTAATATGATGGAAAACTAAGGAAAAACGAATAAGATAATTAAGTAAATAACAACAACGTAATACTAGATATGGATGGAAGAAGCAAACATGAGGGGAGAGAGAAGAGGCACTAGACACTAGGCACTACCAGCTATGGAAGAGCTAAGTATGCGACGCAGTATCCTTGACTGAGGCATAACGGGAAGGCAATAGAAAGAGGAGGCTCCCTTACACTAAAAGGATTTGCACTCAAATACCACGATCGCCGCCGCTTGCATGCTGATTTCCGTGTATTTCATAAACATTTACCAGCAATTTAAAACTGCCATACGATAACTAACAAACTACATGCAGCGACAAACAAACGGGAGTAATTTGGACAACAAATTAGTTTCCTCAGATACTGAAAATCCTTCGTAAAATCGCTCTTGTGATAACAATATCTGCCACAAACACATAGCCGCCACAAAGAATATGGCCGGTACAATTCCTCGAAGAGCATTCATTTCTCGGAAAATATATCTGGAGATTAATCAATCTATCGTTCATATACTCTTCCATACCACTGGACGGCTTCTTCACTCCGAAGCACTAAGGCGAGAACGACATAGAACAAATATGCAGTATAGTATATATTATTATTCCCGATGAACATACCCGTGGTTGACGGACTAAACAAAAATCAATTTAACATTGGAAATGGCCTTTATTCCTGCATGTTTCCCTTAATAAATTATACGAAAGACGACCAGGTGTTTGTAAACATATATTCCAGCCTCTTGCTGTACATGAAGCTGGAATATAATCACAATTCCATACACAGATTTAATCTATGCTTACGCACCGTAGGAAAGCACGAAGGAAAGAGGGAAAAGCCCTACCTGACGGAGATGGTGCGAGGCGACGAGAAAGAGCACGGGCGACGCGGGGTGCTGGCCCTCGGGCCGGGGCGGCTCCACCTTCTTCTCCTTCATCGTCATCCAGCCCAGCCATCTGCGGACAG